TGTGTGTGTGTGTGTGTGTGTGTGTGTGTGTGTAATACAGAGGCGTGACTTCCCTCTGTGTTGGATAATTTAAAAAAAAGTAGTCCGCGATTAGTTATTTCTTTTTTATGGGAAGTTATTTAATTTATTTTTAATTAGCTTTTTCATAATTCGTATTCACAACTGAGATCCTAATTTGTTTTCAGTGGAACCTAACAAGAAGAAGACAAAAAAAATCATTTTGGAGCTTGTGCATGCAAACGTGGTAATAAAATTTTATGGGAGTCTGAGGCCCAACAAAGATAAAAGTAGTACTGCTTCACACCGCRGTTTGATTTGATCTAATTATAGTTGCACATCAGGCAGGAAAAGCAACTTGTATAATCAGCGAAGCGCACAGTGTTGCTCATTTGTTCAAGTGAAGCGGAAGCGTCCACATCCAGGTAGAAGCTCTTTGTTTTCAGTTTGTTATGAGAGAAATGGGCGTGTACTGGTTGAGCTTAAAGCTGCAGAGGGAAATTGTCACCTAAGGATTTGGACACATTTGCTTACTTTTTTTATTTATTTTATTTTTGTGTGTGGGACAGATGACGTGTCTGCGGAAAAGACAACGGGAAACTGGTTAAAAGCCAAAAGTGGAAGGAAGAAGCGCTGTCCCTACACGAAGCACCAGACTCTGGAACTGGAGAAGGAGTTCTTGTTCAACATGTATCTGTCTCGGGAGCGCCGCCTGGAGATCAGCCGGAGTATCAACCTGACCGACAGACAGGTCAAGATCTGGTTCCAAAACAGACGCATGAAGCTCAAGAAGCTGAACAGAGAGAGCCGGGAGAGGGAGCAGAGTGCTGTTTACAACTACTCCTGAAGACTTCTTTATAGCGTCACACTTACACATACCCACACACACACACACACACTCACACACACATAGTTGTAGATTTAGACACGCATGCGTCATTTTGTAATCCAGTAATTCATAAATTTATCTCTTTATGTGCGCACACATGTTTGGAGCAGTACTGAAAGATTGAAGTGCAATTACTTTCTTATAATTACTG